CCCCCGCCTACCTGTATTGCAAGACGGTGCACCTGGAGCAGCAGCCGTCCAGGGGTGAATTCTGAAAGCTGCTTTTGAACTAAATGGTCAGCAAAGAAGACAAGAGAGGTCATCGGCCTCCCTGGTATGTCCATCAGAGTCACACTCAGACAGGGAGCCCCAGCTGCAGTCACCTGCCCCCAGAGAGGATCCAGCCTGCTTGCGGGCTTAAGAAATTAACAGAAGGGACAGCCTGGGGCTCAGAGGAGCCGTTGTACCCCCCACGGCTGGCTGGCTGGCTGGCTGGCTGGCTGGCTGGCTGGCTGGCTGGCTGGCTGGCTGGCTGGCTGGCTGGCTGGCTGGCTGGCTGGCTGGCTGGCTGGCTGGCTGGCTGGCTGGCTGGCTGGCTGGCTGGCTGGCTGGCTGGCTGGCTGGCTGGCTGGCTGGCTGGCTGGCTGGCTGGCTGGCTGGCAGGCTGAGCGGGCCTGCTCAAGACGCACCCCCCCGGGCCCTCCCTTCACGTGCCTTCTCCTCCTGCCCCTCCCGGCCAGCTGCCTGCCTTCCACCGGGGTTAGGGAGGTGGGAATGGATGCCTCACCTGGGACCCACGCCTGCCACAAAGAGAGGGGAGACTGGCGTGTCTCGTGCAGGGCCACCGCCACCCCAGAGGGGGGAGGAGAGCCTTCTTCTTTGTCCCTGGTAGCTGCAGCCCCCAGGAAGCGCTGAGTGGAGGGCACCGCTTCACCCAGACAGTGGCAGAGCAGTACCTCGTGGCCCTTCTCGCTGACCCTGCCCTCTCTTTGCTGGGCGTCTGAGGAGGCGGCAGGGGTTCCTTACCAGCTGCTCCAGAATAGGGGTCAGCAGGCAGGAGTAGCCAGAGCTGGGCTGCTGCAAACTGCTCTGGTAGGGGATCCCTCGCAGCTCTACCAGGTGCTCAAAGTGGGCTTCTTGTTCCCCCAGGAAATCTGCAGTGGAAGAGAGGGCTACCAACGGTCCAGCTGTTGCAAAAGTGCTCCAGCCCAGCCCCTGCCTGCCTGCCTGCCTGCCAGCTGCATAGCTGCATAGCTGCTAGGGTCCCGCCAAGTTGGTGGTGAAGATTTGGGGCTGTCCTTGATCCCTTAGTCCGCTGGAAGGGCTAGCTGGCTGCCAGTGCCTCCTTAGTGCTGATGCCCCTGGAGGGCCATGGCACAAGATGAGCGCCTAATCCACACACTCCTGGCCTAGCCAAGGGGCTTTTTTGCCCTCCCCCCTTTCCTTTGCGAAATCCCAACCATCCCCACTGGCATCTTTGCAGTTCTCGCAAAGAGCGTGTTATGAGGGCGCCCCCCGGCAACATGGCTCCCATTCACCCAAAAGCAAGCTGGTGAGGTTGCTCCCTGCCAACTGCTTGCATTTCTCCCGCCGTTCCCCACCCCCCCTCCGTTCCCCTGCAGTAGACATCTTTTCCTGACATGTCCCCAGACCAAGCGCTGGGGGTTCATTCAGTGCTTGGGGATTTTTCGTTTACTTTTGAAGAACACCTCCAAGACGTGACAGGGGTCAGAAGTATTGGTGGAAATGAAGATTAGAGTCTCTGGAAATGGAGTGGCATGTACATTGGAGTACTCCAAAACCAGGAATGAGTGAAAGTGGGGGTCTGGTGCTTTGCTTCTCATTTTGTTTTAGGTTCAAGGAATCTGAAGCAAATGCAATAAAATGAGGTGGGCAAGGGCGAAGTGGGTGCCCAGGAAGGGCTTAGACTACAATTGGGGGAAGGTAGAGCCACCTCTCCTGGAGGGTTTCTGCCAGTCTCACCAGGTCGGATAGGGTGGGGACCCTCCAGGCCCCCCTCCTTAAATATCACCCGGCAGGACTCAGGAGGCGCGCCTTCCCCGTCCTTCTAGCTAGCTCTTCCCCGAAGTGCCGGTCTGGGGAAAACGAGCTCTGTACATGTGTGGGAGAGAGATGTTCTGGGCCACTGCATGGTGTGGTTTTGTTGGGTTAGGGCTGAGTAGGAGAGGAGGGTCCCCGGTCCCACTACCAAGGGGCCCTTTCTCTGCCTGCTGCTTCGACGACTTGGTTTCCGGGTCCAATGGCATGCACATTTTGTAAGGGGCCTTTAAGCTTGGGAAAAGGGCAGCCCCCCAACCCATTTCCCAGCAACTCACACACTAGGATCCCCACACACAGGGCTGTCGTGGTGCTCATGAGGACAGCGGCTGAGACAGCCTTGCTGCAGACCCCACCGCCAGCCACAGGCCGCGCTGTCTGTCTGTCCAGCACCGGCTTTGAGGTGATGACCAGGAGCCCCATGGGTGCCCCACCAAGCAAGATGGATCTGGAGCTGGAGAGAGAGCAGGACTGAAGTGAGTCTTGCACGGGGGAGGAAAATTCCTCTCTCTGCTTTCCAGTCACGGAGCGTTACGAGCATGGCCTCCCCCAAATGGCTCGCTGCCTAACGGCTGCCGAGCTACAGGATGTCCAAGTCCTGCTTGTGGGAACGAAGGATGCCTCCGGCAGCAACGTCCCTGACAGCTTTAAAGTATCTGCGTTAATATTATATATACACATAGACGTGTGGATGCTCCACTGCCAAGTTACCTGGAGGCTTAAACTGAGTCCATCAAAATGTCTTGTAACCTGCGGACAGATGACTCTGAGGGCACCCTTCTGTCTTTCCAGTCCTTTGAAAATAGAGGCAGGGCATGGAGCTGGTTTGCAGTGTGACCATATACAGTGGTACCTCTAGTTACGAACGCCCCTCCTTATGAATTTTTCAAGATACGACC